GTACCAATACTTCACAGGCTTAGAGAGAAACGTATTGCTATCGGCGGCGATATCGCCGAGATGTTTCATCAGGTCAGGATACACACAGAAGATCAGAGATACCAACGCTTTGTATTTATAGACCCAAACACACAACGGAGAGAGAACTACGCCATGCAGGTAATGACGTTTGGGGCTAGTTGCTCCCCCAGCTGTGCCCAGTACGTGAAGAACAGAAATGCAGAGTCGTTCAAGAAGGAATACCCACGCGCTGTGAAGTGCATGTTGGAGAATCACTATGTAGACGACATGCTGGACAGCGTCGACACGGAGGAAGAAGCTATAAGCCTCGCGCGTCAGGTCCACTACATTCATCTTCAGGGCGGATTCCTCATTCGAAACTGGGTATCGAATTCCAGAGAAGTATTAAGCGCACTCGGCGAAGGAGCACCCACGCTAGTGAGACTAGACGAAGCAACGGATGGACAGACCGAGATGGTGCTGGGAATGTGGTGGGACACGAAGGAAGATCTCATCCGCTACCGTGTATCCCCACGATATCGCCATAAAGAACTTCTCCAAGGAAGGCAACGACCCACCAAACGAGAGTTTCTCAGTGTGTTGATGTCTATATATGATCCTTTAGGGCTCATATCCTTCTACGTGATGTATGCAAAAATAATATTTCAGGAAATATGGCGAAGTGGATGTACCTGGGATGACCCCATACCTGAGGCAGAATGGATTAAATGGAAGCGATGGCTTCGGTATATCCCGGACGTTGAGAAAATGACCATCCCAAGATGCCACATGAAGGAGTCGCTGATGGATTCAGAAGTGGAGATGCACACCTTCGTGGACGCAAGCGAAAATGGATTTGCCGCCGTGAGTTATGTACGATTTCAAAATGAGGCAGGTATCCACTGCAGTCTACTGGGCAGCAAAACCAAGGTAGCCCCTCTAAGACCGACATCCATACCAAGGCTTGAACTCATGGGAGCAGTGCTTGGAGCGAGGTTGGCTCAAACTCTGGAGCTTTCACTTGGCGCGCAGCTGAGCACACGGACTTTCTGGACCGACTCGAGGACCGTGCTGAGTTGGCTGCGATCGGACCAGAGGAAGTACAAACAATTTGTAGCATTCCGTGTGATCGAGATTCTAGACGGTACTAGCGTCAAGGACTGGCGCTGGGTACCTTCCTCCGAGAACGTGGCGGACGACGCCACTAAGTGGAACAAAGGACCTGATTTCAACCGAGAAAGTCGATGGTTAAACGGGCCGAGATTTCTTTGGCAAGAGAGGCAATTTTGGCCGCTGACAGAGGCGGAAGAAGGAGACGAGTCAGGAATGGAACTGAAGGCGCAATTCATCGGCGTATGTGACGGATTCACAGACGTAAGCCGCGCGACCCTCATAGACTCTGAGCGGTTCTCAATCTGGACCCGTCTGCTATGGAGTACCGCAAGAACGGTATGGTGTATGAGGCGATGGAAGGCCAAGGCTCTACAACGATCGGACATCGAAAATCAGCCATCACAAGAAGATACCAGGATCGCGGAGAGTCTTCTGTGGTCGTACGCTCAGGCGGAGTACTACCAGACGGAGATACGGTTAATCTTACAAGGAAAAACATTGAAGAAGAATAACCTACTATACAAGCTGGGACCGTATATGGATTCCGATGGCGTATTAAAGCTGGATGAACGTGCCAAGATGATCAAGGGAAACGACCGCGTCGTACTCCCCTGCGGCAGCCACATTACGCAGCTCATCATAAAGGAATTTCACCGAAGATTTCTGCACGCTAACCACGAGACGGTGGTCAACGAACTACGACAAAGATTTTGGATACCAAAGCTGAGATCCACCCTTGCTCGGATACGACGCTCCTGCCAGCAATGCAAGAACCGACAGGCGGCCCCCAAACCACCGCGCATGGCGGAACTTCCCTATCCAAGAGTAGCAGCCTTTTATAGGCCTTTCAGCTACACGGGTGTGGACTACTTTGGGCCTCTGATGGTGCGGGTCAGACGCAGTTCAGAGAAACGATACAGCGTGCTCTTCACCTGCCTCTCTACAAGGGCAATACATCTAGAGGTAGCATATTCATTAACAACTGACTCTTGTATTCTAGCGGTGCGCAGTTTTATGGCCCGACGAGGGTGCCCAGTGGAACTCTGGAGCGACAACGGCACCAATTTTCAAGGAGCCTGCACGGAGTTGCGTAGGGCGTTTGAAGATGTGGACAAGGATCTACTCTCTCGCGAGTTCACTGGGCCACAGATGGCATGGAAGTTCATACCACCCGCATCTCCCCACATGGGTGGGGCATGGGAGCGCTTGGTGCGTTCCGTGAAGACGGCGTTGGAATCTATCCTCCCTGACAAACGACCATCGGATGAGTTGCTGAGAGCCGCTCTAATGGAGGCGGAGGCGATCGTCAACTCGCGACCCCTTACATACATCCCATTGGAAGATGAGAACGAAGAATCACTGACACCGAATCATTTCCTGCTTGGAAGCTCAACTGGAAGAGGACCGACGATGGAGCCCCTACCCGAAGGAGTGCAGCTCAAGAAGAGCTGGATGGAATCACAACAACTGGCGGACTCGTTCTGGAGGCGATGGCTTCAAGAATACCTGCCAGTGATCACTAGGCGGACCAAGTGGTGCGAAAAGGCTAAGCCTCTTGTAGAAGGGGATATCGTGTATGTGTGCGATCCCGGACAGCCGCGTAGCCAGTGGCCGAAAGGAAGAATCCTGAAGGTCAACCTTAGCTCGGACGGTCAAGTGAGGAGCGCCGCGGTGAGGACCCAATCTGGCGTTTATACAAGACCCGCGACGAAGCTGGCAGTTCTATCTATCGAGAGAAGTTTGGTAGATCCCTGGCGGAATATACAAGTGGGGAGTGTTACGATAGATAGCAAAACTGCTCCCGCGGCATCCGGCAACACCGGAGTTGCAGAACCGATAGTTTAAGCGGGTGTTAAATCTCTGTTAACTCAGCCGGTAACCATGTGCCTAAGCTTTCTTTTCTATTTGACACTCGAGGGAAGCGGACGAAAAGTGAGAACATATTAAGATATAAGATTTGATTATGAATTGTACCACTATTAATTTACTAGGAATTTAAAGTGCTGCCATCGCAGAGTGGTTACCGACTGTACCACTGTTAGCCCTTGCTGCCCCGTTATAAATGAAGAAAACAATAAACAATTATCTACACGGGCGTCTTTACTCGGGCGGCGCTAAACAAATTCGAATTCCCGCAAAAGGGTGTATCGTCCAATATCGGATGTGCCATCCTAAGTGTGCTGCTCTAGAGGATGGCGGCGTAGGATGGATCTGTGCAGAGTGTGACGTAGACGTCCATGCACAGAACTCGACGTTGATCAGGACAGAAAAGCTGACCAGCCTGACGGCTGGGGACAACTACCAGAGTTACTCAGGTGGCGACCAGATGAGGATCGGAACTAATGACGTCGACGAGGCCTCGAAGGAAGCGCAGGACCACGGTACCAGAATGCTGGTACGGACACAATTGGTGAAGTTGCCGTTGTGGAAGGAAACGGCAGTACACAGAGAGCCCACGCTGGGCCCCCATGGCTCTTTTCTACCAGTGGGGAGGACAACTCAGCTGCTAGGGTCACTAAACCTGTGGGCAGACCATCTTACGAACAATTGACAGCGAAGAAGACTAGCGTGGCTGAGTTGGTGAAGTTTTCCGGAAGGCCGGAGGACTGGCCCTTATTCATCGCAACGTATGAACAGACGACGGAGCTATGCGGATTCACGGATGCCGAGAACCTAATGCGGCTTCGGCATGCGTTGGAAGGACCAGCCAAGAACGCAGTACAGTTGGCAGAGTTTAGTACGTGGCTATCGCAGATGGCAGAAGGAGCGAGCCATGTGATAGTCCCAAGCTCGTCGTCAAGAACGGAGAGAAGGGGCACGGTACATACACACACTGTGCGCCAAGGCTGTCGGCTGTGCACCCGCAATTGCAGAACCCTGCAGGAGTGTCCAGCATTCCTGGAAATGACGACCCGCGATCGCTGGAATGCTACTCGACGGTGTGGCTTGTGCTGGAGGTGTTTCCAGAGCCACAAGGTGGAAAGATGCGGCGTAGATCCTTGCGGAATAGATGGATGCCTAGAACGCCATCATCCCCTGTTGCATCGCGGCAGCACGGCTCCCGTCCAAGCCAGGTGCCATGCACACCGACAAGAAGGTGTGGAAATGCTGTTCAGGGTATTGCCAGTGACTTTGTATGGAAATGGTAGGCAAGTCAACACGTATGCCTTCATCGACGACGGGTCATCTCTAACCTTGATCGACGCCCCATTGCTAGAAGACCTTGGAGTGAAGGGACAACCGCAGCCTCTATGTATGCAGTGGACTGCCGGCATGCACCGGTATGAGAACAGCTCGGTCAGACTGGACTTAAGGATCTCCGGCATTGGCCAAACGAAGCTATATGATCTTCGTGACGTTCACTCGGTCCAGTCTCTTGATCTCCCGTCACAGTCGTTGGATATAACCCACCTGAAAGCACAACACACACACCTTCGACATCTACCACTGTCCGGATACGACTCAGCACAGCCCAGGCTCTTGATAGGTCTCAATAATTGCAAACTAGGACGCGTGCTTCGCACCAAAGAAGGCACAACAGAAGAACCGATCGCTGAGAAGGCCCGCTTGGGGTGGACGATTAAAGGAAGAAGCTCCCACAGTGTGGGTGATGGCATAACCCCAAACTACCACGTGTTTCACATATGTGCATGTGAAGCTGACGAGAACAAGGAGATCTTGCGCATGCTTGAGCAGTGCATGTGGTCGGACGGCGGCCCTAGACCAGAGATGAATAGCAAGAGCGTATCCAATGATGACCAGTTGGCTATACAGCAGCTGGAGAAGAACACGAGGCGTATAAATGGCCGATTTGAAACAGGTCTGCTTTGGAGGTATAAAGATGACAAGCTGCCGGATAGTTTACCTACAGCCCTATAGCGGGCACGATGCCTGTACCAGAAACTGACTCGCGAGCCGGAGCTTGCGAAGGGAATTCGCCGACAGCTAGATGAGTACGTGAAGAAAGGATATGCACGGCCCATTACGTCGGAAGAAGCTCAGGAAAAGCCATATTGGTATCTACCTATCTTTCCCGTGCTAAACGTGAACAAGCCAGGAAAGCTTCGCATAGTCTGGGATGCGGCTGCAAAGACGGAAGGGATCTCGCTGAACACAATGCTGCTGAAGGGACCTGACCAACTAGCGCAGTTGGTACCAATACTTCACAGGTTTAGAGAGAAACGTATTGCTATCGGCGGCGATATCGCCGAGATGTTTCATCAGGTCAGGATACACACAGAAGATCAGAGATACCAACGCTTTGTATTTATAGACCCAAACACACAACGGAGAGAGAACTACGCCATGCAGGTAATGACGTTTGGGGCTAGTTGCTCCCCCAGCTGTGCCCAGTACGTGAAGAACAGAAATGCAGAGTCGTTCAAGAAGGAATACCCACGCGCTGTGAAGTGCATATTGGAGAATCACTATGTAGACGACATGCTGGACAGCGTCGACACGGAGGAAGAAGCTATAAGCCTCGCGCGTCAGGTCCACTACATTCATCTTCAGGGCGGATTCCTCATTCGAAACTGGGTATCGAATTCCAGAGAAGTATTAAGCGCACTCGGCGAAGGAGCACCCACGCTAGTGAGACTAGACGAAGCAACGGATGGACAGACCGAGAAGGTGCTGGGAATGTGGTGGGACACGAAGGAAGATCTCATCCGCTACCGTGTATCCCCACGATATTGCCATAAAGAACTTCTCCAAGGAAGGCAACGACCCACCAAACGAGAGTTTCTCAGTGTGTTGATGTCTATATATGATCCTTTAGGGCTCATATCCTTCTACGTGATGTATGCAAAAATAATATTTCAGGAAATATGGCGAAGTGGATGTACCTGGGATGACCCCATACCTGAGGCAGAATGGATTAAATGGAAGCGATGGCTTCGGTATATCCCGGACGTTGAGAAAATGACCATCCCAAGATGCCACATGAAGGAGTCGCTGATGGATTCAGAAGTGGAGATGCACACCTTCGTGGACGCAAGCGAAAATGGATTTGCCGCCGTGAGTTATGTACGATTTCAAAATGAGGCAGGTATCCACTGCAGTCTACTGGGCAGCAAAACCAAGGTAGCCCCTCTAAGACCGACATCCATACCAAGGCTTGAACTCATGGGAGCAGTGCTTGGAGCGAGGTTGGCTCAAACTCTGGAGCTTTCACTTGGCGCGCAGCTGAGCACACGGACTTTCTGGACCGACTCGAGGACCGTGCTGAGTTGGCTGCGATCGGACCAGAGGAAGTACAAACAATTTGTAGCATTCCGTGTGATCGAGATTCTAGACGGTACTAGCGTCAAGGACTGGCGCTGGGTACCTTCCTCCGAGAACGTGGCAGACGACGCCACTAAGTGGAACAAAGGTTTCAACCGAGAAAGTCGATGGTTAAACGGGCCGAGATTTCTTTGGCAAGAGAGGCAATTTTGGCCGCTGACAGAGGCGGAAGAAGGAGACGAGTCAGGAATGGAACTGAAGGCGCAATTCATCGGCGTATGTGACGGATTCACAGACGTAAGCCGCGCGACCCTCATAGACTCTGAGCGGTTCTCAATCTGGACCCGTCTGCTATGGAGTACCGCAAGAACGGTATGGTGTATGAGGCGATGGAAGGCCAAGGCTCTACAACGATCGGACATCGAAAATCAGCCATCACAAGAAGATACCAGGATCGCGGAGAGTCTTCTGTGGTCGTACGCTCAGGCGGAGTACTACCAGACGGAGATACGGTTAATCTTACAAGGAAAAACATTGAAGAAGAATAACCTACTATACAAGCTGGGACCGTATATGGATTCCGATGGCGTATTAAAGCTGGATGAACGTGCCAAGATGATCAAGGGAAACGACCGCGTCGTACTCCCCTGCGGCAGCCACATTACGCAGCTCATCATAAAGGAATTTCACCGAAGATTTCTGCACGCTAACCACGAGACGGTGGTCAACGAACTACGACAAAGATTTTGGATACCAAAGCTGAGATCCACCCTTGCTCGGATACGACGCTCCTGCCAGCAATGCAAGAACCGACAGGCGGCCCCCAAACCACCGCGCATGGCGGAACTTCCCTATCCAAGAGTAGCAGCCTTTTATAGGCCTTTCAGCTACACGGGTGTGGACTACTTTGGGCCTCTAATGGTGCGGGTCAGACGCAGTTCAAAGAAACGATACAGCGTGCTCTTCACCTGCCTCTCTACAAGGGCAATACATCTAGAGGTAGCGTATTCATTAACAACTGACTCTTGTATTCTAGTGGAACTCTGGAGCGACAACGGCACCAATTTTCAAGGAGCCTGCACGGAGTTGCGTAGGGCGTTTGAAGATGTGGACAAGGATCTACTCTCTCGCGAGTTGACTGGACCCCAGATGACACGGAAGTTCATTCCACTCGCATCTCCCCACATGGGTGGGGCATGGGAGCGCTTGGTGCGTTCCGTGAAGACGGCGTTGGAATCTATCCTCCCTGACAAACGACCATCGGATGAATTGCTGAGAGCCGCTCTAATGGAGGCGGAGGCGATCGTCAACACGCGACCCCTAACATATATCCCATTGGAAGATGAGAACGAAGAATCACTGACACCGAATCATTTTCTGCTTGGAAGCTCAACTGGAAGAGGACCGACGATGGAGCCCCTACCCGAAGGAGTACAGCTCAAGAAGAGCTGGATGGAATCACAACTGGCGGACTCGTTCTGGAGTCGATGGCTTCAAGAATACCTGCCATTGATCACTAGGCGGACAAAGTGGTGCGAAAAGGCTAAGCCTCTTGAAGAAGGGGATATCGTGTATGTGTGCGATCCCGGACAGCCGCGTAGCCAGTGGCCGAAAGGAAGAATCTTGAAGGTGAACCTTAGCTCGGACGGTCAAATGAGGAGCGCCGCGGTGAGGACCCAATCTGGCGTTTATACAAGACCCGCGACGAAGCTGGCAGTTCTATCTATCGAGAGTAGTTTGGTAGATCCCTGGCGGAATATACAAGTGGGGAGTGTTACGATAGATAGCAAAACTGCTCCCGCGGCATCCGGCAACACCGGAGTTGCAGAACCGATAGTTTAAGCGGGTGTTAAATCTCTGTTAACTCAGCCGGTAACCATGTGCCTAAGCTTTCTTTTCTATTTGACACTCGAGGGAAGCGGACGAAAAGTGAGAACATATTAAGATATAAGATTTGATTATGAATTGTACCACTATTAATTTACTAGGAATTTAAAGTGCTGCCATCGCAGAGTGGTTACCGACTGTACCACTGTTAGCCCTTGCTGCCCCGTTATAAATGAAGAAAACAATAAACAATTATCTATACGGGCGTCTTTACTCGGGTGGCGCTAAACAAATTCGAATTCCCGCAAAAGGGTGTATCGTCCAATATCGGATGGTTCGTGCATGGTTAGTTGCAAGGGTCTTGGACCCGGGTTGAGCAATATACGCGTCTTTTTTGTTGTTGGGTTTTTAAGTTTTTCTTTGTGGTCAATATTTGTTTGTTTAATTTTTGCTGATAAGCTTTGTGGGGTTTGTTCACGCAGGTGTTCACTTTGTAATACAACTTGTCTCTTCAGAGGTTGAAGTGGTACTGTTATTATTCTGAAAATAAAGTCAATTTAATAATACGGAACAAAAAAAATTTAAAAGCGCCGCTAATCGGGACGTTTTGCCCATAGTGCAGTGTTCATTACAAAAGCAAGACTCGATTATTTTGTGAATAAGTTTTTGTGAATTATGTGAAGAAACATTTTTAAACAATGCCATATGCAATGACAATAAAGAGTAAACAGGTCCAAAATATATTTTGGAAAAATTTAACAGATCTTATAATTGCTTGTTAAAAATTTATCAATTTTTTATGTTTGAGAGATCACAGTAGTAGGAGAGATAAAAATATGTATACTTTATGAGGTCTGGCACGGTACCTTTTGCTGCTTCATGTTTATTTGTCAATAATACCGCAACACATTATGTGTAGCAGAAAACAATAAATAAATTAATAAGATTCCTTATTGAGGAATCCTGGACTATGTCCTTTAAGGATACATCATTTGAGCCATTTCAGCGCCATGTGGTCCGTGATTACTTGAAACTTGTATCCTTCTATTTAGGGTCTCATTTGGCTAATCGCACAAACTATGGCAAGGCACTCCTCCGTCACTGAGTAATTTTTCTCAGCCCCAATCAAAGTCCGACTGGCGTGGGCGATCACTCGCTTCCCCTCGTCGATTAAGGATGTCAACTCCTTAATTAAGTAAATAATTATCTAGTAATTAATTTTTCAAATAACTTTGGAATTGCCGACCTTTAAGAGATGCCTCTGTAATTGGCAGCCTCGGACTTTTTCCTTTTTTTTTGTAAGGGAATTATGAAAGATTTCTTCCACTTAAGGGGAAAAATCAAAGTTTCCAAAGATAAGTTGAAAAGTCCTACAAGAGGTTTGCACAGAGCCCTGGCACAGTATTTTAGCACACAGCATTGTGCAGCATTTAGCACACAGCATTGATACGCAAACTATCAAGGAAGCCAGAGATGTGGTGATGGAAATGGCGGAGATCGTGCAAGGGTCGAACAGTCGGAAGCCCAAGATAGTGAAGACGAGTTAGTTGATAGCGTCGACAGGTTCAGCGAGGCCCAGGTAGACCTAAGATAATTCGTACTGGAAGGCCAGGACGACCACGTAAGGAGTACAATATGCTTAACGCTATTGGTGTTGCCGACGTCCAAGTACCGAGTGGAGTTAAGGAGGCTTTAAGCTTGACACAGGCTGAAGAATGGAAGGCTGCGATGCAGAAAGAGTGTTCTCAACTACCACCAGTGTTCTCAACTGTCTTGTCGACCAAGACATGGAGTCTTGTAAATCTTCCTCCTGGCGAGAGAACTATTGGGTGTTTGCGGTTAAAGAAGACCAGTACGGCAACGTGGAACGGTTCAAGGGAGTGGGGCAATTGGCCATAAGCAGTACATCGACGGGCTGTTACGAGATTATGGCATGGAAGACTGCAAGCAGAATGCAACGCTTTTGGAGGTTGGTTATCAGAACCTATGTGTTTTGCAAGACTGTCCATGAGTTAACCAGAAGCAGTATCAATCGCTTATTGGATCACTGCTGTACCTAGCAATGACTACGAAAGTTGGCTCAGAGGTGCAGTGACCCCCATAAGGAACATAAGGTGGCCGCTAAACGCGTCCTTCGTTACCTAAAAGGAACTTCTGCAGCATTTTTTTAGTCTCTAATAAATCGTCAAACCGAATAATTTTCATAATTTTTGTTGAGTTAGAGAGTTGAAAAGGTCAACTATATCTAGTATTTGCGGTGTATATTAACTTCGTTACGCTCGAAGTTAGCTTTCTGTTCTTTATACCCTTGCAGAGGGTATTAAAATTTTGTCCAAAAGTGTGCAACGCAGTGAAGGAGACATCTCCGACCCTATAAAGTATATATATTCTTGATCAGGATCACCTCCTGAGTTGATATGAGCATGTCCGTCTGTCCGTCTGTCTGTCTGTTTCTTCGCGAACTAGTCTCTCAGTTTTAAAGCTATCGACTTGAAATATTGCACACACCCTTCTTTCCTTTGCACGCAGTATATAAGTCGGAACGGCCCGGATCGGCCGACTATATCCTATAGCTGCCATATAACTGATTGATCGGAAATGGTATAACTTTGACGTTTTTAAAGTTAGAGAGTTCAAATTCGACATGAGAGCATTTTTTGGCAAAATAATACGACTTGCCGAAACGACATTACGACATTACAAAATTTCATAAGGATCTTATATCCTTTATATCTTCTATACCTCTTGTATATCTCTATATCTTATAGCTGCCATATAACTCAACGATCGGAAATGGTATTTGGTAGAAATATCAACTTTCGTATTTTTGAAGATAGAACCTTGGGACTTTTTTTTAGATTTTTTATTGTAATTAATTGGTTTTATTATGATGTTATCATAAGGATCGGCCAACTATATCCGATGTTTGCGATATACATATATCCGGTTTTAGCTGCAAAGGTATATCAACTTCGACTCCGCCCGAAGTTAGCTTTCCTTTCTTGTTATATATTTATATATCTATTTATGTTGGTAACAAATTTGAGCGGCAACTATTTTAAAGAACCAATACATTAAAGGAAATCTCACAATCAATCTAAATCTCCCTAATTAATAACAAAATATATGAAAAATATATGAATAAAAAAATTTTACTTCTACCTCTTAATCTTATTCCTAACTAATTGTTAAATGTATACTGAAATATTAAAAAATATAATATGACAAATAATATAATTTGTTTCGTCATTTCACCCAATAACGAATACCCGAATTTTCTTAGGGTAGCAAGCCTGAAATGTTACAAAAATCAAAATTTGTGTGCGCTGGCTTCGAAACGAAATCGCACGCACACATGCACCCGTGTGGGTGAATGTGGGACACGCATACATACAAAGTTCAATCCAAGCGTAGACCACCCTTCTTCATCGCGTTCCTTTCAGAGACTGAGAAACAGAAAGCATTCAATGAGAGTATGAGCGGAAGATGAACGAAAGATGATAGTAAGAAAGAAAGCAGGATCTCGCTCTGGGGCCTGCTCGGGCCTGTCGCAAGAAATTTTTGCGTCCATTACAGTTGCATGAAATGGGTTTCTATAGTGTATGGTTAGTGGTAAAACGAAAGAGCTGAAGAGATTTTGATTTTTGGGACTCAGCTTTAAAAACAGTTTGTTCTTTGGAAATTTTAGAGGAAAATTATGGTGTCGCGGTGCCTTTTAAAAAAACGATTTAATAAACGTAGTTTTATATTTTAGGCCATGTTAACGAGATTCTGTACCTCAGTCTGGACCAGGACCTTTGAATGTGTCTCCAAACTTGCCATCACCTGCGTAAGTGCCTCGCTGCTAATTGTCAGTGTGGAAGCAGGAATGACAGCTTGTTTATTTTTTGGGAATTTTTTTAAATAAAATTTTTTGGAAATTGAAGCCATCGGTTGTTTCACCCACGTCATTCTCAGTCGAGTGTACCGAGCCAATAGACTCCTCGCCGTCTAATGATGCGAAGTCATCGCCGCCATCATCCCGGTCTAGATTTACTATGGAAGTTGGAATCTGCAGTCTGATCCACAGTTTTTCTGGTCACAGCGTACCAATTTACTTATCGGAGTCAATATTTTTTATAAACTGTGTTGGGCAAATTCAGTTCTCAGTTGGGCTCACCTTTCGCAGAAAACCGGACTAAGATGGGTTGTATGTTTGAGCGGTTCACATGTGGAAAGAATGCCACACGTGTCCATGGCCCGCAACACTCTGTGAGCATAGAGCCTAAGTCTGCTGGCAGAGCGTATAATTAGTCTGCTCTGGCAGTTCGCAGCCTGCTCAGAGCGCATTCAGGTCCAATAATCACCCAAGATCTGTATCGACTTATAATCACTCCTTAACAGTGTTAACAACTCTCCCCTTAGAAACATGAACGTCCTCGGTCATCTGGAATTTTTGAACGACTTGTTGGATCTCATGTGCGTCTCGTCTCTTCCTCAGCATCATGATGAGTAGGAAGGAGTAGCTGATGAGAAGTCTGGCTTCCACGTCGACCGCGAACCAGGGTCGGTAGTTCCAGCCGATTTCACTTCCTTCTGGATGACCTCCAAGTCTTGGTTGTTAATTCTTTGGAGAAGTGGCATGCTTAATGTGGGATCGTGGCTGATGATGTTGAGCAACGGAGATGCCGCCATGTCCAGAGTTTTTGTGCCAGAGTGCCCATCTCGCATAGTGCGGTACTCCCAGCGTTTAGGCCTCGAGCACAAGTATCATGGGCCGCCAGTTGGCAAAACGATGCGTAAGTTGTTAAGTTCGATGCGTCTAAGTTGCCTAAGACGGCGCTATTGCATTCGGCTACTGTGTTCTCATTCAACTGCAGGATGGTGTGTTGGTGTGATACAGAGAAGATTGTGACCTTTTTACGAATTGTTTTAATCTTAAGGTACACATGGATTTTACTATCGGACTGATGGACTCTAAAGTTAGACGCCTCTAGTAGGCGTAATGCAGACTACAAATAATTTTGATTAAAAAT